TGGATTAGTTTCTATTGATGTTGGCATTACTGCGGTTGAGCTCAATACAACTGTTACTACTAGATTTTAAGGTATTTTCTAGTGTTGTTTTTTTCTTCTTCTTTTGACTATTGTTGCTTAAAATTTTAACTGTTGTTGCTGGATTTTATGTTGTTGCTAAACGTTTCATTGTTGTTGTTGGAATCTTTTACAGCTACTGTTGCTGGATTTTCTGTTGTTGCTAAACCTTTCACTGCTGGTGCTGGAATCTTTTATAGTTGCTGTTAGATTTTGGTGCTATTAGACCAATATTGGACCAATACATCTATGTCATTTTAAGACTAAGTGATGTTTATTTGCTTTTGAATTATTTAGAATTTATGAATTTTATGGAAATGATATTTTATGGAATTTAATATATTATTAAGTGTTAATATATATGATAGTTTACGGACCTACTTTTAAGCATGTGCTAGAAAAGGTAACATTTGAGTATCAAAACAACTAATATATACGGTATATTATTATATATTTGTTTTACATATGTTGATATATATTTGTAATGGATAACATTTGAGTATCAAAATAACTAATAAATTTTTATAAATTAAGGTATATTAATGAAAATATATAAATAATTAATGGTGTATATGTATCTTAATATTTTTTATGACAAAGAAAATACATTTCAAAATTTTAATTGTTATATTTTTAATTATTCTATTTTATATGTAGGATTTGTCTCCACTACGTAAATAATTTAATTGTTTGAAATATGCAAAATTATATTGAATTGTGTTATAGATTTTTTAAATTGAAAATAATAATTATTATATACACAACCCGTGGACCCAACCCTACCCAACCCGTAAATATCCGGGTTGATTCGGGTCGGTTTTTAAAGTAGAATTACGGGTTTGATGATAAACACAACCCATTGAAAGTTGAACGGGTTGGGTAACGGGTTAAGGCGAACCCGGTCCAACCCAACCCGCATACACCCCTAGTGAATTGTGGTTACTATCCCGAACACTGGAGTTTGGACCTTATACATAAACCCTAGAAGAGGAGATTTTGTCTGTACTCTTGTTTATTGCTTAGTTTAGGACACCTTGCACACACACGACTTCCACTTGGGCTACCTGACAATGACCCCATTTATTTCTTGCACTTCCGTGTACTTTACATGTACCCAATTCCCTTTTGGATGTATGCTCTTTAGTTTTCTTGCTCTTCTTTGATTGTGGTTTTGTTTACTATGAACACCCTTAGGGACTAGGATAGACTAAACTATTTTCAAACTAATTCTCGATTTGATGTCGAGCCCCTTTTAAAAACACCCTTGTAAGTCGATTGCATTTTAGAAATGCCATCAACCTAATGCACACTCTTGCACCTTTTCTTTGGTTGTGGTTTTGTTACTAGGAGCATCCTTAAGGACTAAGATCGATCCAAACCTTTTCACAAACCCATGATCCAATGTCAAGTGGTACTTTCTTCACGTCTTGTAAGTCTAGTGTTTTTGCCTCGCCATCGACCTTACCCAACACCCATATGACCTCATTTCCATTAGTCATTGCACCTCTTCACATGCAAATTCAAACCTCGATCAACATCGAGTATTTTCTTTTCAACTTCAAAAACACATAAATACTATCAAAAATATTTTCAAATAAAGGTGATAGAGGGCAGTTTGGAGTCTTCAATTCCTCTCCTCGATTGTTTGGGTGCGAGTTGTCTTTCTCTTGTTTGAACAATTATCACATATAAAGAAAACCAACAAATCATAGTTTCATGAACTACAAACGCTCTGATTCTTCATTCTCGTCTGAATGAAGATACGTATGCACAAGGGCCCAAATCCTTGGCGAGCTACCTTTTGTTGTTTTCCACCTTTTTCTACCTTTTTGTTTTTTACCCATCTACCTTTTCTTTTCCTTATCCAAACCTTCTTCTCGCAGTCTGAACTACGTATGCTCTGGTTTCTCATTTCATAGTGAGAATACGTGGGCACAAGGGCCTCAATCTTGCCGAGTACCCTAATATAAAAAACCACTCATTTTCCCCTTAGCAAACGAAACCTTTTTTCTCATACCTTTTCGCATTACTCGCTTAGAAGAAAACAAATAAGATTAGCTAACATTCATCACAAATTGAACTAAGAGGTTCTAGTTGGGTACAACGGACGTGAGGGGTGCTAATACCTTCCCTTTGCGTAATTGACCTGAACCTAGAATTTGGTTGCGATGACCACGTTCTTATCTCTTAAAGGTTTTCTCGATATTTTCCTATTCCTTCATTAGAATGAATGAAGTTCGGTGGCGACTCTGTTCGAACCATTTTTTTGCGTCCCATCGCGAAGGTCGTATTTTTTAAGGTGCAACAGTTGGCGACTCTGTTGGGGACCTTTTTTTCGTGTTCCATCGCGAAGGTCGTATTAATTAATTATATTTTATTCCAAGTCAGCACTATTAATGACATGTCACTCACGTTAATGCCATATATGCATTTTTGAAATGAAATTATTAAAAAAGGACAACGGTGTAGACGTTAGATAATTTATAGGAGTGACTTGTAGCAAAAAAAACTTTTGGGAATAACCTGTTACAATTATATAAATTAAAGGATCCCTAGTATAATTTTGCCTATAATGCTTTATTATACATATGCAATTTCCTCCTATTTTCATTTCTTAAACAATACTTAAGTACACTTGTCATATTTTTATTAGATGATATTAAAAAATAAACTAAAAAATTGCATCTATTTTTTTTTGGTTGAAAATTTTACCCTATACCCCACACTTACCCCTACCCCAACAATTTTGAAAATATTCCAAATTCACCCTTGTTAATTTCACTATAATCTTTTACTTTTTACTATTCATCCAAGTCATTCAAAATAAACGGTTGAGAACCCTACTATGCGAACCAGATAATTTAAGTTGAAGAAATCTGGTATGTTTTTTTTTTTCAAATTGGAAAACTTAAAACAATGCTTTCGGTTTATATAGTTACCACACCAAATAACTTGTTGTTTAGTTATGCGGTTCTCAAAATTCAACCAAATAACTTTACCAAGTGATTTCCGATTTAGTTTTTTAATAGCCGAACATCTTATATGTAAGAGTTCTGGTAATGTATTGTTTACTAACTGAATTTCTTATTTCTAAGAGTTTTGAAATGCATTATTATTATTATTATTATTATTATTATTACTTTTTGAAGTTTTATTAATTTTTTTTACATTTATATTTAACAAGTACATATATTTCTTTGATGATATACGATAAAAATAAGACATATGTAGATACCACTGAGATATTCTCAACAACGGAAAAATTTGATACACGAGAAGAGACGATAAGGTGAATTAGAGAGGTTGGAATCAGGAATAGAGTGACAATTATAATAATCCGCTTGGACACCAAAACTAGCAAGAGAGGAAGAAGTGAAACGTTATATTTGGTTGTGATAAAGGTGAAAAATACAAAGAAGGAGATAATGAAACACAAAATGCCACTAAGAAATGTGGTTATCCATTCAAAATTAGGTCAACATCGTCAAAAGATAGCTATGGTTGAAAGATTGACGTAAAATATGGACTTCACAACCATGGTTTACTAGATAGATTTGAAGGTCATTCGTTTGTAGGTCGACTTAATGTTGATGAACAACAACATATTGTTGATTTGACAAAACATAATGTTCCATCAAGACACGTATTGTCATTGCAAGAATGATATTCGGAGAATATGACTTGGATCATGAAAATATATAAACATAAGAGTAAGATTCAGAAAGATATCAGGGGTCCTAGAACAGAAATACAACATTTGTTTAAGCTGATAGAGGATTCAAATTATGTTTATTGGAGTAGAAAAAATGATGAGTCAAAAGTTGTGAGAGATATCTTCTGGGGCCACCCAGAATCAGTGAAGTTGTTGAATATTTGTTCTAATGTGTTAATTATGGACTGTATGTACAAGACAAATAAGCACAGACAACCTTTGTTTGAAGTAGTTGATATGACATCAACTGAGTTAACATTTGCTGTTGCACTTGCCTATATAGAATCTGAGAAACCAAAGAATTTCTGTTGGATATTGGATAAATTGAAACAATTGTTTACTTAACAAGGGTTATGGCCACAAGTGATTTTAACTGATAGAGATCTTGCTTTGATGAAAGCAATTGAAACAGTATTTCCAAGGACAATTAATTTGGTTTGTCGATTTCACATCAACAAAAATATAAAAGCGAAGTGCAAGGAGTATGTTATGAATGATATGCGAAAGCCGATAGAGAAACTATAGTATGAACTTGTAAGGGCTAATGATAAGGTGGAGTACCATCAACAGTTGCAACAACTTGAGCACACATGTGTACATTTTAAATAATTTTTTGATTATACGAAAAACACATGGTTGACTCCTCACATGCATATATTTGTTGGAGCTTAGATCAATCAAGTGTTACTGGAAGTTAAAAGCACGAACCAAATAACTTTAAACTAAGTTCTTCGTATGACATTATAAAACTGAATAACCTTGGTGCTAGTTTTTCGGTGTACAACTTCAAGAACCGAATAACATGATTAAGAGTTATTCAATTAGAGTAGATGTGAATCAAACTACTATATGTCAAGTTATCCGACGTGTAAAATTTTCTTGAATCAAATTGGATTACTTGTGAGTTTTTCAATGTGAAAAAACTAAAGAACCAAATAACTTTCTTGGATGTTCTCCGATTTGTAATCGAAACAGATATCTTTCTTCTGCTCTCGGTTTCTCTAAATCAAAATGAGAAAAAAAATATTTTTTAAAAATATAGATAAATATTTTTTAAAAATATAGATATTTATACCAGAATATTTGAATCCAAATATATACATAACATAGAGAGATAAATGAAAAATTTTCAATTAGTAGCAAATTGCCCCGATAAGCCCACTGCTATCCCGGAAACGCAGCGTTTGGATCTTTCACCCCTTCCAGCATAAACGACTAGTGAGTTCGGGAAATGTCTCCGGCGGGTGAACTGTGGTGGCTTTGCCGCTGCCTCGACGAGTCTCTCAGCCCCTACACAGTCTGTTTCACTGTTCTCCCATTCAACTATAGTATTTCCTTTCTTAACTGATCCGTTAAACCAAACCTGCTTTCCATGTACCTCAGGAACCACGCGCGTTCGTTTCAACGAGCAAAGAGAACGAGAAGGAAATTCTAATCGCTTCTTCTCAGGTTCTCATCTAAAAGTTCAGTTCAATCTTCTATAGTTGCTTACTTGTTCATTTATTCGGTTATCTGGCTATTTTTTTTCGTAGGTCGTTAGAAAAATTCAGCTGCGAATTCGTGAATATGATTCTTCGAATAAAGAGGAATTGTTCAGTTCAGAGAAACATTGTTCCGTTCATCAATGCCTACCGAAAATTGTGACTAAAATGGTGAGTGTCAGAAAATGAATTTTCTACGGCATGCTTTCTGATTAACGTTCTTTTGAATATGATTTGTATTTTCTATGTTTAGGTGAATTTGTTAGCTGTTAAAAATGAATTTGTTCAACACGTTGCGGTCAAGGCTCTTGTCTTAATTTCAGAGTTTGTGTTCGCGACAGTAAGTAATATTCGTAGTGATTTTGCTGAGGTTATGCTAATGTTATGCTTATGCATAGTTTATGATATTTATGATTCCTTGTGATGATATGCAGGGGAACGATTGGGATGAATTCGTTTGTTTGTTATGCTGTTCCTTAGAAATGGCTTTTACTAGAATGCTCTCGTGTTCGTCTAAAAATAATAACTTTGATTCTCCTGATGTTGATTTCATGCTGCAACATGGGCGGATGAGTTGTGATTGGTCTACTGTGGCTGGTATCGTTGGAGTGCTTCGTGTTATATGTAAACATTTGAAGGAAGATTATGATGATGAACTTGTCAAAGTGTACTATGACTCTGTTAATTCTTGTCTTTTGAAAATGCCTTGGAATTCGTTGGATGAGTGTTGGAGTTGTGACATTGTTAGCCCGAAGAAAAGCTTGTCAGCGAATGAGCTGCATCTTAGTAATTTGGGTGCTATGGATCCTGGAATCAGATTTCTTGGCACTTTTCTCCAGTTACTATGCACTTTGGTTGACCCGAATGATTCTGTGGAAACTGGTGGTGATTCTGCCGACAAGCACCCACTATTTGTCACAGTAATGAATCTTATACCTAGACTTGTAAAGTGGTGTCTCCGCAAGCAAGAAGACAATTCTGAGACTTGCATCATCCATTACATGAAACATAAATTGCTGGTATGGTTCTTCCACTTGTTCAAGAACTTGATAACTGATTTTTTCATCACTTCTGGGATTGAATGCAAATAGTGGTCATTGTTTCCACTTTAAGTTTTATGGACAAGAAGGTTATGATTAGTATAGAAATGCCTCGTGCATCTTGTCACACATAGAACAAGAAGTAAAATTTTATTACTGACTGTTTTTAGTGTTGAGATTCTCAACTATCAATAGTTAGTTACATGTTACATTTTGGTTACATTAAGGTGTTAATAGTTAGTTAGAACAAAACGTGAATTAGTATTATTAGGCTATTAGCAAAGGAGGTTCAGCTAAAATAGGAGAAGGGAGTGGAAAGGAAAATTGTTAGCAATGGGAAAACGGGTAAGCAGTGTGGTTGTATGGGGAAACCCTTGGAAGAGATTTTTCTCCTTTCCAGATTGATATTCAATTCATCAATAGAAGATTTGGCATAGTTAAATGAAGCACGGACACGATAAGGGTATTAGATACCATACGTATCCGATACGGAGATATGTTAGTCATTGAAAAATTTAGGATACGATACGTTTAAAATACGTATATAAAAAGATTAAAATTAAAGATTAGTTAAATGATTCTCTAACAAAAACCAATTGAGTTTGCAAAATTTGATAATAATTAGTCAAGGAATTGTGAGAAAAAGAAAAAATTATTAAAGTTAAGAGAGAAGTAATTAAAGGAAAAATTTGATTCTTGTAGTAGAAAAAATGAAAGTGATGAGGTGATTAAAGTTGAGGTATCGGCGGTGTATTGGCGTATCGGATACGATACGGCATAGATTTTAGAGTATCGGTGCTTCATTGGTATAGTTATTTATTTGTGTTTCTGTGTAACACTGTCAAACCTTGACAAAAATATTCCATCTCAATCTCAAATCAATGCTTGAGTTTTTTTCTTTCTTTCATCAAACATTTAGTACTTGAGCTGATAACTGATATACTGTGTTTGTACATTGTACATTATCTGTGTTATTAGATGAGATTTTTACTAACTTTATTCTATTTGACCTAGATTCTTAGTATATTGTTAGGTACCAAATATGCATGTGTAAGCCCAATTGTCCTAGGCCTATTAGAGAAACGATAGTTAGTTACAGAAGGAAAGTGAAAAAGAGAAAGGGTTGAGTCTGTCATATAGGGGTTGAAGGATAGAGAAGCGGTATCTTTGGGAAATCATTTATGTAGTTATGGACATAGAACATTGTTCTCTGTAGGAGCTTGGCTCTGGGCATTAGGATACTCACCCTTCTGCAGTTATCTTTCGTTTACATGAATAATACACTAATTTTTCAATATTTGTCCATTTTTATCTGTTTCGTTTATATTCTGTAAGTTGTGGTATATGAGTACGCAACAATTGCAGTTATCTTTCATTTAAAAGAATTATACACTACTTTTTAGTATTTGTGAATTTTTATCTGTTTCATCTATGTTCTGTAAGTTGTGGTGAATACGGGGTACGCAAAAATGGTCCGACCTGCCGGATTTGTGATGGGATCAGGGCTTTACTGAGATGAAAATCAACAGATGGAGGAGAAAATAGACACTAGAGTTCACATGACCAACATTCAAAAGATTTTGAGGGACCTGCAGATCCAACACATAAAGATGCACAAATACTAAAAAAGTAGTGTATTATTCATGTAAATGAAAGATAACTGCAGAAGGATGAATATCCTAATGCCCACAGAGCCATGCTCCTACAGAGAACAATATTCTCTGCCCGTTACATGAATAATACACTACTTTTTTCAGTATTTGTGCATTTTTATCTGTTTCGTCTATGTTCTGTAACTAACTATCGTTTCCCTAATAGGCCTAGGATAATTGGGCCTACACATGCATATCTGGTATCTAACGGGTTTACTTATGGAAGTAAGCGAAGAGACGATCCCAAAGTTCGTGAGGGTGCGCGCATCCAAGAACACGAGTGAGAATTTCACTCAAAAGTGTCGATTGAAGCCAGGAAAGGAGCATTTGACCACGCATGCGTCAAGATATATGCTCAGGATTGATATTCACTGCACATCGATCCTCATCAGTGAGGAATTTGACAAGAATTCGAGGACAAACCACAAACTTTGAGATTGTGCACATTGACATAGGGTTCAACTTGTTGACATCATAGATGGAAGTTTTCTTTAGTTAACTTCTCAGAAATCTTCAAAGAGAAGTGTAAAAAAGATGAATACGCTTCAGATGAAGTTTACAAGTGTAGAGAAGCACTGGAATTTTGCAAATACAGTGGCGGTGATGGAGGAGTGAGTTCAGCCATGGTTCATAACTGTCAATTTGATACCATATTAGAAACTCAACTAACTGTAATATGAATTCTTAGATTCATTTCAAACTGCATTTCTATTACACCACTTGCATTTATATGTGCCGAGTGTTTACTTGCAGTAGCAGGTTATACTAATGTGAGCTGGCAGGTATCCGTTACACCTGTACAGCTGGCATAACTAACTTTGAAAGTTAGTTATGCGTGCTCGCTTAGTATTGTTAAAGTGACCAACTGGTATCATAACTAACTTGAGAGTTAATTATGCAGGCCATAGGGAATATACTCAAATAGTGTTCAACTTTAACTCTACCGAGTTGATCCAACTCCAACAAACCAAATCCTACCATCCTTCACTCTTTAGTATTTGGAACATTGTGATTTGTCACTTGATTTTGATCTTGTTATGCTCTTTTTGTCTTCTGAGTTCTAAACCTATCACAGGATTTAAGAATTTGTCCATCAATTTTGATTGTAATGCTATATTTGTTGTTTTTGTCCGGTGTTATGGTCTTGCATAGACTGCTAAGTTGTATTTAATTTACAACTATAATGCGTTGAATATTTACTATGCATGTAGTATTAAATTGTGTTTAGATACTACGATAACTGTTTTAAGTATCATTTTTGTACTAAGGAAACCCTTAAGACTTCACATGCCGAGCCTATGAGATTCACGAGTTTACATAGACTATTGAGTTTGAGTGACAACCTTGCTCCTATGAAATGAACTCTTCAAACCAATTACATTGTTCTTTGCAGATTTTGATGATCAGGCTTGGGTCGCTCTCGTGTCTGGACTGTTCAGAATCTTTTTCTAGGCTTGAAATCCTTCATAACTACTTTCAAGAGCTTCTGCTGCAACCTTTAACTCAATTTCTGTCTGCTCAAGGTTGTCTTGAAGACTCTCCATTTTTATTGAGTTTGTCTGATGGAGAAACATATGGTATGTCTTCCAGCCATCTACAAAGACAAGCTATTTTCCTCTTACTGGATTGTTCTATCAGTTTGATCAGTCAAAGAGGATCAAAGGAAAACCACAGTGATTGTTCGGCTTTAATCTCATATTTTACCAATGACCCAGATCCAGAGTTTGATCACTTTCGCATAAACAAGGGATCACTAGAGCTTTACAAGTGGATTCAAGAACATCTTCCAAGTGAGGTCTCTATCAACAGTGAAAACTACTCAGAGATATGTATGAACTTCATGTCATCTTTTCTCAAGCTATATCTTCATGAGGTTTGTTTGCTGTTTGTGCACATTAGTTAGTGACTGTAACTGTGAAGCTTGTTTGATATGGCCATTGTCTTCAAAGCAGTTTTTGGTTCTGAAAAGTTATCTTTTAAAATACTCTGGTGGTGTCATATGAATGTTTGATAAGGATGATGTCTGACAAGTCAGGATGGGTGATCATGTACTGGAAACTGTGAAGCATGAAAACTTTTTAAAAAGAAGCTGCTGAGTTCATGTCGAAATGCTTAAAATTTTAATAGGAATTTTGAATATCTGTACCCATGCTTCTTAGGTTCAACATATATTTGCTAAACTGGGTCATTAATGAGAATCCATACTCTTGTTTTCCTTAAGCAAAATAGTTTGAAGTCTCTTGATAAGATCTTCTTTTATTGAGGTTATTTAACACTTGAATGGCAGGATGATCTATTGTTTGATGTGCTATTGCAATTGCTGAGCATATCATCTCGTCTCCAGCAACTGTAAGCAAGTGTATTTGATCTTTGACTTTTTGTTAGTAAGCTCTTAATGGAAAGATTCACTGCGACTATAATGAGATTTCAACAATGTAGGTCTGGAAGAAAAGATGTTGCATACCAGGATGTAAAGAGAGATTTTCATTTTGATCTGTCTGACATTTTTAATCCCGTGTACCTTTTCCATCTGTTTCTTTCAGAGGCTAGTATTTTACTTCCATAACGCAGATAGGAAAATTCATTATCCATTTCGCTATTTTTTTTAGGGTCTTGCTAGTACCAAAGATATAAATATTTTCTTGGAAACCGTGTACTTAACTTTTTACAAGCTTAAATTTTTTTTAACACAAATTTCAAGATAACATTTATATATATTGGTTCCTTAACAAGTTTCCTGGGGAAACTTGTTAGCATTTGCCTTATTTTTATTTTGAAAAAGAAACTTATTATGTTATCCTTTACTTACACAGATACATTATGATCATCAAGTGCTTCTTGACTATCTCATTTCAAAAGATACTGGAATAAGCTGTGTTAAATATCTTCTAAGGTACATATTGTACTAACTATTTTGGACTACAATTTCCCTTACTGAGTTTCTGTGATTATAAATAAGCAGGGAGAGTTATAATCAGATCTGGGTTTAGTAACTAGTTTTCTGCCATATGTGTATTTTAAAACATAATTAATTTCAATTTTGATGTTTGATGTTATGGTTGGTGTGTTGCATCTATGGTTTATGTATAGTTAGTTTAATGTCAAGGGTGAAACAATTCAAGAAAGAGAGAATTACCGATTAAGTTATGAATTTTACTGTTGGCACTTACCCTGACACCTATTGCTATTTGAAAAATTGGTATTTACGTTTTCCTCTTTTACACGTATGTTGCTAGATGCATGCATTTGATATGCAACTCATGGAAATTATTTGTGGAATTTCCATTATCTGGAGAACTTTCAAATCAATCATCTTGCAAGAGAAGAAAACTTTTAGGGGATGATCCACAGTTAGTTGCAGATGAAACGCCTTCTTCAGTTGACAATAATGGAAGTATTGAATTGCATAGCAAGAATTTTAAGGAAGATAGTGAATATGACTTCAAGCACCATAACTTTGAACAATTCAAGAAAGCTGCAGAATGTTTACTATCTTTAAACAATTCCATTGGAAATCTTCATCAAAAGAGCCTGTTTCCGTATAATCCTGAAGTGCTTCTGAGACGGTATGTTGCTTAACAATGCTTTATTTCTTGTCTATCTTCAACAGTTAGTAACAAACTTATTTCTTGTAGTCTAAGAAGATTTCAAGAGTTATTCGACAGACAGAAACTTGAGTAATTAAGTAAACTACTTGATTCTCGTATAACCCTGGAAGCTTGGCAATCTTGTGATTTTTAATGGTTATAAAACTACATATCTGGTGAGTAGGCCTTTCTTTTTGACTTGTTTCAAAGTGTTATGCCAGAAATTATTTTGTTATCAACCTCAAAGGTTAGGTTGCTGATTGAATGGAACACTTGACGAAAACAGGTAGTGGCAGCATTGATGGACAGAAAGGAGAGAAATGACTGCTACTGTAGTAGTATCCAGTTATATGCCGTCTCTGAAGAGAGTCGGGTGATTGATAGCATGGATATCGCATGCATAGAGTCTGAAATAGCGGTGTAGTTCCTGGTTCCTATCACTGTTTCCATTTTTGAAGGTACGATTCCATTCTCTCAGAACTGTAAGCCAGCCGCACGAAATTCCCTTGACAACCTTTTGAGATATCTTATTAGTAATCCAAAAAGTTATCATGTTTTAGGGTGAGCAGAAAACTTTACTTTATCTACTCAAATATGGATTTGGCAAATTGATATTTAGTAACAAAAAGGAACAGTATTGATTTTATAAAACAAAAGGAACCTATAATCTTTTAACAAACGAACATTTGAATATTTCGTAAGTTTCATATACTCTCATAGACATAACCTTATATCCATAAACTTATGAAGTAAAGTCTTATATAACATTCTTGCATGGAGATATAGATAGAAATTGCAATGCAAAAGTCACTTCTCCAATAAAGTGTCTCACAGTTTCAAACTCGGTGGGTGATGTGATATTCCTTTATTCGAACACAAATAAAAATTGAAATTCAATAAAGTCAAAGGCTATTCCATGACTTCATGCGTATTTATTAGCTATCTGATAGAGAGATTCACATAGTTCTTGTGGCTTAGAAAGCATAGCCATATGATCTGCGCCTTTGACCTCAAATACATCATTAATGCCACCATTTTGGATCATCCAGAGTTGAAATTTTAATGGAATTGCAGCGTCTTCATTGCAAACAATAAAAGCACTTGGAACTGACCCATAACCTTGTTTGGAGAATAACTTTGTTTGCCGAGTCAAGTCTTCCTTAAAGAGAGATCCTGGCCTTATTAAACTCTTGGCCAATTCAAGATCCTGTCAAATCCAATATTTTACTTTTATTATCATTGTTACTACTATTTTATATTTCGACATTAATTTAATTTGTAATAGTAGCATGTAGTTTACCTTAGGGGAAGAGCATTGATAGAGCTTATTGGACAAGAATTTGGGACCAAAGAACATTGATGTTTTCTTTCCACTCTGGAAGAATCCAGTGTCCAACCACTCAGCCGCAGGGACACTCTCAATATACTGTTCAAGTTTATAAAATATAATACTCTCAAATGGCGAACATAATCACTCTTATCAATTCCATATTGCTTGATATTTAAATTGAGACACATATATTATGGAAATCATTAGCAATTTGTAAAGTGGTTTCCATATTAATTTTCTGACCAAAATATTATATTTTTTCATATTAAAGTAGTGTATATAAAACCAAACTTTTTCCATAAAACAGAGAAATCCAACACAGGGTCTTAATAGTCAATAGTGTCAATACAGAAGACATTTGAAAATCTATGGGTCGGTAAAGGCCAGTGATAGTAGCTGACAAGAATCAAATTGTCACTAAACATCAAATGTCGGACCTTGGATAATCAAATTGTCACTAAACATCAAATTAACACATTACCAATCACTTCAGATTTTAATGGCTTAACCCGTTTCCAATCACTTCAAATTTTAATGGGTTGGAGTTTTTGTCCAATATGCAATTTTATAGTCAAAATTGAACCAAATTGACCAAACCATTTATAGATTGAGTTGAGTTGGGGCTGTGTGTTGTGTTTTAAATAAAAAAAATTGATAATTTTTTTTTCCAATTATAAAAAAATTATAATACAATTCAATAAAATTATACATATTTTTATCACTCATCATATAATATCTAATCAAATTTATATCTGATAACACTTAATAATAGGAAAAACTTCATTTCAATATAATACATAACACAGAAAATAAAAAAAAAACACAACTTAGCTTTATAATTATGTAAATTTATTGGTCTAATATTAGGGTTCATGGTGAATAAATTTTTTTGTGACAATTTTGGTTTGTAAATGATATATTAATTTTATATATCATTTAAAATAATAATAATAAAAGATAAAAATTCAAATTCAATATCCAAACCAAAATTATGGAGTTGTTGTAGATTGGGTTGAATATTCCGGTAAATAAACGGATTGATGTAATTTATTGATTGATTAGGTTTGAGCTTGTAAATTTGATGTAATTTATTGATTGATTAGGTTTGAGCTTGTAAATTTGCGGGTCTATTTGTAACAATAAACACTCTTGATTAAGCATGACAACGGGGCAGGTCGGAGACAATTTTTACTTTCTTCAAACTCAAATTCCAAAACAATTCCCGTTCTCTGCCCTAATCTCCACCGTTCTCTGCCCTAATCTCCACCGGAGATGAAGAATTAAATCCAAACCCGTCTTAAATGGGTTTTAATAAAAATATTTATTTTTTTAAATTCTAATTACATTAAATAAAAAATATTTTTAAAAATTTTCATACATACATTTTAAATGTTTTAAATAATAAATACAAATAAAAATATTAAAACATTCATCAGATATTTAATATTATAAATTATAAAATTTAAAATAACAAATAATAAAATACATACTAAAATATCGACACAGATTTGAGATGAGTACTAGTTTCTAAATTATCTAACCATTCTCAAATTTTATAATTAGTAAAAATCTAAACTAAATTAAAGTGAATTTCCTCATCAAATTTGGGGGCGAATTTGAATAGGTTGCATATATAGATTTTGTTGCCATACTTACTCAAGATGGAAGTGGCATAAAGCATCAAAGGAATTTTCATAAATCAAAATAAATATGTTAAAGAGGTGTTTGACAGATTTGACACGAAACATTGTAATTCTGTGAAGAACTCAACTGTTCTAGCATTCAAACTTGTGAAAGAAGGTTGAAGAAGAAGGCGGTTCCAACGTTGATGTTAGTGCTTAGACTTGTATTAATTTTTTTAGGCTCTGCGTAGATCAGCAGAAATTTAATTATGGTAGTATAAATATTGAACTCTGCATAGAAATTTAACAACCTAGATTTCTTTATAGATTTATTTGTGAATATATTTAATATTTTTTTAAAATAAAATTTATTAAAAAGTTATTTTATAAAAAAATATTCTAAAAAATAAATAAAAAATTTAATTAAAATATAAAAATAAATTTATTAATATACTAAAAAAAAATGACAAATCCGCCGCCGGCCTACTTAACTAAGAGGACGAAAGCTCCATATCATTTGACAGATTTGATTGCTTTTTATAATAGGGTGGGGGGCCATTTTGCCACCCTATCACAAACAACAAATATCCAATAATTTCTTTTATACATAAAATATTATGGTTTATCAATTTAGACCCTACCTTATTATTATTATAATACCAAACGCAATAATCGCAATCATGTGCGAATGACACAAGTAAAATATGTAAAACTAATCCTAAGTTTTTCTTCTTCTTCTTCATATTGTGGATTTTTTTACCACCCTCTTTTGAAAAAAAATATACCAAAATACTCCATTTTGAAATTTTTTTACCAGAATGCCCCTTTTTTTGTATGGACTCGTCCATTCATTGGACCAACTACCTTAGCCCACTACATGCTCGCCCATTGGAAGGACGAGCTAGTGGAGATTTTTTAGGAAGCATGAGCTCGTCCATTGGAAGGACGAGCGTGTGTTAGTTTTGTTTTTTTTAATTTTTTTTTTCTAAATTATATTTATGTATTATTGGATTTATTTATTAAAACATTTAATATTTATTTATTATAATTAATAATAAAATAATAATATAAAATTAATAAATAATAAAATTTTATTTTTTTTAATTCTTAATTATTTTTTTATACAATATAATTATTTTTTTATTCGTATACAATATAATTATTTAATTATTTATACTCATCTAATTTAGTTATACAAAACAATAATTTATTTATAACAAATTATTTATACTCATTTAATTCTTAATCAATGACTATTTAATAATTTATTTTTCAAAAAAAAATTAACATTATTTTTTGTATTAATTATACTTAAAGTTTTATTATTTATTCAAATTAACATTAAAATTTTATTATTTATAAAAATTAAAATTAGTAATTTTATTATTTATAAAAATAAACATTAATAATTTTATTATTTACAATTCATAAATAAATAAATAAAAAATGTATTAAAAATAAATATACATAAAATTAAGAATTAAAAAAAATAAAATTTTATTATTTATTAATTTTATATTATTATTTTATTATTAATTATAATAAATAAATATTAAATGTTTTAATAAATAAATCCAATAATACATAAATATAATTCAGAAAAAAAAATTAAAAAAAATAAAACTAACACACGCTCGTCCTTCCAATGGACGAGCTCATGCTTCCTAAAAAATTTCCACTAGCTCGTCCTTCCAATGGGCGAGCATGTAGTGGGCTAAGGTAGTTGGTCCAATGAATGGACGAGCCCATACAAGAAAGGGGGCATTCTGGTAAAAAATTTTCAAAATGGGTATTTTGGTATTTTTTTTTTAGTATGTTTAATTTCTAGCAGCAATAATGTAACACAAATATATAGTAAAAAATGTGAAGGGTAATGAAACAAACCTTTTCCATGACATAAGATGGGTTATGTTGAATATCAGGAACAAAAGCTGTTAAGAAAACAGCAACAGCAATCTTTTCTGGAAATTGTTCCATGGCAAGTGCTATGTTAACTCCTCCAAGGCTATGACCCACAAGAATCACCTTTTCATTACGAGGAATTGTGGTCATTAACTCCAACAAAGGTTGAGAATACTCTGAAACTGTATCAACATCTTCAATTTTCTTGGAGTTGATTCCAGAAGCTGCAAGGTCTATTACAGTAACCAAGTGACCAGAAGATTCAATGATTGTCTTCACCTTGTACCAACTCCAAGCTCCATGGCAAGCACCATGAACAAGAACATAATGTTTTTTATCTTGTAAATTTTCAGTTCTCATAATGTTTTTCTTTTTGTTGTTCTTGTGGTTGGTGAATTGATGATTGTGGCTTTATATTATTTCCACATCGTTACTATTTATAGACAATATAAGCAGAAAAGTCATAGATTGATCGATCTTGACAAATTGGTAGTGCTATATGACTATTAAGACTTCACCCACTTGCAAATAACTTTCTAAATTTGGACACGTAATTTAGTTATTGTAGATTTTTTTATTTTATATATTTTATATATGAGTAAAGTTTATATAAATGCGCCCACCCCTCAAACTGCTTCTAATAAATTAGTTAAATATAAAAAAATATGTTCGAGTTCTAATGTTTACGATAAGGTGTGTGTTTTTTAATTTAAATTGTGATGAAGATATCAATTATCTGTTCATTTTTTGCACCCGAATATTATTAATTTGGAAGAAAATTGTTTTGTAGGTTGAAGTTCCATGGTTGATTGAAGATAATTGTTGTGATCATCCTATGACTTGAGTTTTAAGTTTGTTAGGAAAATGTTCAAAATCATCGGTATGTTTTATTTGATTTGCTATGTGTTGGTGTATTTGGTGGGTGAGGAATCAAAATCATTGGTATGTCGATGAAGTAGGAAATACTGATGTTATTGTTGATAGAATTATTCTATTCTTATGGTGGTGGTTGTTATTAGGTCCAAACAGATATTAATTTGTAATTATTATGAGTGACTTAACTATAGACTAGATTATTTGTAGGTGTTTAATCATTTGTAGGAGTTGCTGAGGTGATTTTGTGTTAAAATGTAATTCTTTGTGTCGAAGCAGGTAGTGCTCGACAAAAACAAGGATGTGTCGAAGCAGATTGCTTGACACATAATTTCGACTTAGACCAAAATAGAAATTTTGTATATTTTGCGTTTTACCTTAGAGAGGAAGGTAGCTCAATTATAAATAGAGGGAGTAACCTCTATTTTTCATATAGAGGAGAATAATCTTGTAATTACTTACACTTGAAAAAATTAATAAGATTTTCACAGTTTGTTTGTGGGCAGAGAGAGACTCTGCAGAAATCATCATCTTCTTCCCCAATTTTCCTCAAACCCTAATCTTTTTTCTTATTCAATTTTCTTTCTTCTTCCATTAACAATTGCCGCGCAGAATCATTCTTGCAATCAAGCTGTGATTGATTCACTCGAGTGAAGAGTGAAGAACAAGAGAGGAATTTGATCGATTGATTGAATCTTGTTCATCAAGTTTGGTTCAGAATTCTCAAAGTGTTGGGTTAATTCCAACATATGGTATTTAGAGCTCCAATTATGATTCGTGGAAGCAAAACGCGATGACAATGAATCATCCAAACAGGCATTTTTCAACGAGTCTTCCGATTCTCAAGAACAATAATAATGATAATTGGTGCAAACAGATGAAATTAGTTTTTGTTATCAAGATCTCTGGGATCTTGTTAAGAAAAGAGTAACACCACTTGCAGAAAACGCGCCGGATCAAGAAAAGGCTGCATACAAAGAATTGAAGAAGAAAGACTATAAAGTTCTGTTTATAATTTATCAAAGTGTTGATCCAGATAATTTTGAAAGGTGAGTAATGTAGAATCAGTAAAAGAAGCATGGAAAATCATGGAGAAATCGTTTAGAGGCGCAAAGAAGGTGAAAGATGTGAGTTTACAAACTCACAAAAGGACATATGAATTGCTTCAGATGAAAGAAAGTGAAATCATAACTGATTTTTTCACTAAGGTTACTAAGTTGGTGAATCAAATCAAAGTATGTGGAGAAGTGTTGACATCAAGATCAATTGTTGCAAAGATATTGAGGTCATTGGCTCAAAAGTTCGACCACGTGGTAGTAGCCATAAAAGAGTTGAAAGACTTGTCAACCTTAAAAAAGGAAGAGCTTCAAGGGACGCTTGAATCTCATGAACAAAGAATGGTTAAAAAAGCTGCAGGAAAGTCGAAGAGTGATGTGGCCTTGCAGACACAATTAACAAAAGAAAAGAAAGGCAAAGGAAGTAGGAATGACAACAAAAATAAAGTAGGCTACAACAATTCGACTGGTCGAAATCAGCAAGAAGGAGACTGGTTGAAATAGAGAAATCCCTAGAACCAAGGCAACCAAAGTGTTGGTGGTGCAGGTAGAGGAAAATGTGGTGGTCGAAAACCTGACAAAAGTCACATTCGGTGTTACAATTGTCAAAAGTATGGTCACTATTCTAGTGATTGTTATGAAAAGCAGAAGAATCAAGTAACTGATGCAAATCTGGCGAAACATGAAGAAGAAGAGATGTTACTGATGGTTACAACAAGAGATGAAGAGAGTTTCAAGGACCAATGATACTTGGACTTAGGATGTTCATCACACATGTCTGAAAGGAAATATTGGTTTGTCAACATAAAGCCCTCAATAAAGAACATGGTGAAATTTACAAATGACAATACTCTAGCAGCTGAAGGTATTGTTAATTTTCTGATTATGAGGAAAGAAGGAAAAATGTCAGCAATTTCCAATATGTTGTACATACCATACATGAAGAGAAATTTGCTCAGTATAGGGCAACTGGTCGAAAAGAACTACAAGGTGTCAATTGAAGACAAGATGATGGGATTTCTCAACTCAGGTGGTAGGTTAATCTTGAAGGCACCAATGTATCAGAATAGAACATTCAAGATTGAACTTAATATGATGAAGCATAAGTTTCTTGCAACTGCAGTCAGTAGAGATGAATGGATATGACATTATAGACTTGGCCATCTCAATTTTAAAGACATCAGAGATTTGAAGAGAAGAAATATGGTTTCAGGATTACCAGAAATCGACATCCCAAATGAAGTATGTGAAGAACGTGTGCAGGCGAAACAATACAAAAGTAGCTTCAACAAGGATGCAGGAAGCAAGTCGAAGGCAATTCTTGAAGTCATATACTCTGATGTATGTGGTCCTATCCAGGTGGATTTGATTGGAGGTAACAAATACTTTATCACTTTCATAGATGATTTCAGTAAAAAATTATGGACTTACCCGATCAAGAAGAAAATTGAAGTGATTGAGGTATTTGCCAAATTTAAATCTATGATCGAAAGACAAAGTAATCAAAAGCTAAAGATTCTGAGGACTGATGGTGGTGGAGAGTATGTGTTGAAAGATTTTGACACATTATGTGAGAAAGAAGAGATTATGCATGAGGTCGTGCCACCCTATACTCTACAGCATAATGGAACTGCAGAAAGGAAGAATAGATTCATCATGAATATGGTGAGAAGAATGTTGAAAGGCAAGCATCTACCCAAAGAATTACGAGGAGAAGCTGTGTTGACTGTAACATACATCTTGAACAAATGTCCGACAAAAAAGCTAGAATAAATCACACCAGAAGAATGTTGGTCTGGTGTCAAGCAGATCCTAAGTCATCTGAAGGTGTTTGGATCTATAGCACATAAACATGTGCCAGATTAGTTGAGAAGAAAAATCGATGACAAGTCGAGTCAAATGATATTAATATGATATCATTCGACTGGAGGATACAAGTTGTTCGACCTAGTGAACAAGCAAGTAATGATCAACAGGGACATGATCATAGATGAGCTTAAGGATTGGGATTGGACTAAGAATGTTAAAGAAGGATTCAGTGAGAATCTTATGTGAAGAACCAGCTAGAGAAGTTCGACAAGAAGAAGTCAGAGGTGAAGCAGGCCCAAGCAGACCTCAATGAACAAGACACACACAATCAAGGTTGCAAGAATGTATGATTACATCATATGATATGGTCAACAAAAAAGGTGAGCTCGTACACTATGCTTTCTATGCAGGTGTCAAACCAATCAATGCAGCTGAGGTATTGAAATATTTGAACTGGGTGAATGCAATGAATAAGAAACTAGAGTCCATCAAAGTTAACAACACTTGGTCACTTTTCGAAATTCCTCAAGGCAAGAAGGCAATCGATGTGAAGTGGGTATACAATGTGAAGTTGAATCCCAAAGGAAAAGTAATTCAACATAAGGCAAGACTTGTAGAAAAATGATTTCTTCAGAAAGAAGGAATTAATTTCAATGAAGTCTTTGCACTAGTTGCCAGAATCGAAACAATTAGGTTGGTTGTTGGTCTAGAAAACATGAACAACTGGTACATGTGTCAGATGGATGTGAAATTTTCATTTCTAAATGGCCCCTTAGATGAAGAAGTTTATGTTGCATAACCAACTGAGTTTGTGAAACAACGTGAAGAAATAAAGGTGTACATGTTGCATAAAGCCCTATATGGACTTAAGCAAGCTCCAAGAGCTTGGAGTAAGAAGATAGATAGATTTCTAAGGGAGAAAGAATTTGTGAAGTGCACAACTGAGCATAGAGTATATATAAGGAGAAGCAATAGTGAATTGTTTATACTATGTCTCTATGTCGATGACCTGTTGATAATAGAAAGTTGTAAGGAGGAGATCAAAGATTTCAAATATGACCTAAGTGAGGTGTAATATCCCATATTCCCTTAAATGCTTAATTCGATATCAGTTGAGATCAACTGGGTTCCTATGTACTCTATCTTTGGTCAGTTGCAACAATTAGAGCTCCTAACTGCTCTGAATGTTATCAATTGGGATCAATAGAGTAACTAGTGATCTCTGAGGAGATCAATTATTGATGAAAGGGACAAACAAATATTAATAAGTACAAGAGAGGATATTTTGGTAACTCTAATATTTGGTCAATTGGTGTTAGATGACAAAAATATCAATTGGAGATATTTTACACTATATATATATATATATATATATATATATATATATATATATATATATATATATATATATATATATATATATATATATATATATATATATATATATGTATGTATGTATGTATGTATGTATGTATGTGTGTTTGTGTGTGCGCGCGCGTACGTGTGTGTGTGTGTGTGTGTGTGTGTGTGTGTGCGCGTGTGTTATATATTGATGAGAAAGAGAAAGAAGAAAGTTGGTAAGAAGAGATACAAAAAAGGAAAGAGGAAAAGAGAAGAGAAATG